GAAGCGCTAAATAAGAGGGAACTTTTTCTCCAAGGGGGCTGCGAGTTGAAGGCCATGAATTTCGAATTTGAGCGAGAGATTGGCTTTATCAATAGTCAGCCATCGCTCGCTGAGTGCCTGACATCTTTTCCCCCTGTCGGTGATACATTTCAAAGTTCATCAATCAAGAACTCGACGCTTTCACACTCGACACTGATTCCTCCTCCTTTTGAGCAGACCATCCCCAGCCTGAAACCGGGCAGCCACCCTCGCCACAGCAGCGGCAGCCGCCCCAAGCACAGCCCCAATGGCAACAGCGGCAGCCCAGTGCCAGCCGGCGCCCTCCAGCCTCCGGAGTACCCCTGGATGAAAGAGAAAAAGGCGTCCAAGAAAACCGCCCTCCCGCCTGCTTCGGCCTCCGCCCCTGGACCAGCTTGCCTGAGCCACAAAGGTCAGTTGAAAGACTTTGCTGCACCATTCTGCTTCCCCCCGATCTGTTTGTTCTTCCCCACCCTCCTCACTGCCATCGCCTCTTTCTTGGAGCATTGCCTTCCTAACTCAAGGCACTGAACCCTGAGAAGGAAGCTGATGGTGGGATCCACAGGCAGAAGCACGAGAGACACCAACCCTCCCTCACCCCCCCCCAAGCAAAGTTTCTTTCCCCCTAACTTGTTTAGCGTGGGATGATTTATTTGAGTTGGAGGTGACCTCCTCTTGTCTCGCTGTCCTAGAGTTGGGATCCTTGACAGTAATGAAGAGTGATAGATTACTCTTGCTCAGCTAAGCAGCTGATGCATTAATTATAATTTGTGGTATGACTAATATCAAAGTTTGCTCGGCGAGGGGAAGGTTTGGGAGATGGAGGCGAAACAGTTCCTCCAGCTGAGTGAAAAAGGGGTCCCGGAGAGCGGGCGCGCAAGGGGGCAACACAATGGCTTTGCTGCATTCAAGGGCGGCCATTTTGTTGCAGTTGAGATGTTTTTACGCTCTGGAGAGAAGGAGAGCGAGCGGGAGAGGTTTCCCACCACCAGTTATCACTCTGTTCTCACCAGGCTCGGGTGTCCTCAAAAGGTCCAACTAGGGGCAATCTTTCCATCCTCCACCCCCTCCATGGCATCTCTTCTAACTGTGGTTGTTTTCTTCATCAACAGAATCTCTGGAGATCTCCGAAAATGGTAATGGGGGCTCCAGGAGACTAAGGACTGCTTACACCAACACGCAGCTTTTGGAGCTGGAGAAGGAATTTCATTTCAACAAGTACCTCTGTAGACCAAGGAGGGTGGAGATCGCCGCTCTCCTGGATCTGACGGAGAGGCAAGTCAAGGTCTGGTTTCAAAACAGGCGGATGAAGCACAAGAGGCAGACCCAGTGCAAGGAGAATCAGAACAGCGAGGGGAAATGTAAAGGCTTGGAGGACCCCGAAAAAGCCGAAGAGGAGGAAGAAGAGGAAGAAGAAGAGGAGGAAGAGGAGAAATCTCTCTTTGAGCAAGCCCTTAACGATGTTTCAGGCGCTCTTTTGGAAAGGGAAAGCTACACTTTTCAGCAGAATGCCCTGGCTCAGCCGCAGGCGCCTCCAAGCCTCCACAATGGAGAGTCCCAAACTTTTCCCGTTTCGCCTTTAACCAGCAATGAGAAAAATCTGAAACATTTTCAGCACCAGTCACCCACTGTTCCCAATTGCCTCTCAACAATGGGCCAGAACTGTGCAGCTGCCCTGAACAATGGCAGTCCGGAGGCCCTGGAAGTCCCTTCTTTGCAGGACTTCAGCGTTTTCTCCACAGATTCCTGCCTACAGCTTTCTGATGCCGCTGTCTCCCCCAGTTTGCCAGGATCTCTCGACAGTCCTGTAGATATTTCAACCGACAGCTTTGACTTTTTCACAGATACGCTCACCACAATTGACTTGCAGCACCTGAATTACTGAGAAAGGACAGACCTTCATGCGCCAAGGGTTATACCTTCCTTTTCTTTTTCCTATCTCTCCTTAATTTTTATTTTCCCTTCCCATTTCGATTTGATTCCTTTCCCTTTCTCAGTTAGTATTTTCGGTTGTCCTATCTGATGTGTTGGAGAACTACTTTGCCGTTTCCCTATGGCATTTTAGTTGTGTTCAGTTTAACCTAGCCACATTCTAGGTCCTTCTATGAAAGCAATATATATGGCCTGTAAGAAAGTGATCATATCGAATTTGTATCTTCACTTTCTTTTTATTTTTGTATTACATTAGGGTGCGTTGTCATAAGTATTTTTGGTAGAATAAATTCTTGTTTACTACAAGCACCTTTTTTATCTCTCTCTTTCTCTCTCTTCATGCATAGCACAAGGAATTGCCCCCTCCCTTCCTTTGGTCTGAAATAAAGCCAAACAATTTGGTCACAGACCTCTGTCCTTTTTCATGAGAAAGACATTTATTGGAATGAAGCTAGCTGAAATAATTTACCTCCCTTTCCTCCCTGTCCCCCAAAATGCAGTGTTACAATCCTTCCCACAACTTAGAATATCTTTGACCCTTATTAAAAATAAATTTCCCCCATTTAATACATATCACATATTAGAATTAAAAATACAGAAACACTGCTTTGGTGCTATTAAAAACACTGTGAGTTTGTCTCTCACACACATATATGTGAAAGAGAATATTTTGCAAAGGGAAAAAGCAAATGCTGCTAGGAGGATTGCTGCATCTATGCAGATAGATCAAAATTTATATTTATATATTAGTCACTGTGTTTATTCTATTTGCGAACCATATCTTGGAAGGGAATGGTGGTGTGGGGAACCAACAAAGGTACACTTCTGATGGATTTTCCAGCGGTCCAAAGGTCCCAAGAAAAGAAATCTAAAAGAGAGAGGAAATCAAACAAGCCATTTGGTAAAAGCTAGTTATTAACTGTGCAAGGCATATAAATTACCAGTTAAAAATTGGGCTTAAAGAACAAAAGCTCATACTGAAGGTGGAGAAAAAGGTGTTCCCACCAAAGCTCAGTCCGAACTAGGTTAACAAGTGTACATTTCAGAAGACCTTTTAGCTATCCCACCAAAGCACATAAAAAATGAAGAGGCCCATCTAAAAGTGCTGTTAATTGAAGGTGGTGTGTGTGCGTGTGTCCTCCAGTCCAAGTTAAATTCAGCTCATTCATACAGGTTGATATGTGTTCTTTTGTGTCCTACAAACTAGCAGTCTGTAAGAGCAGACACCGTTTGTTTTCCTGGTGTGTGCGTATGTGTGAATCTCTCTCTCCCCTTCTCTTTGTAAGGATGTGTGTATGTGTTTGTGTAGAGATAGACATAGAAAGAAAATGGCTCAGGTTTTGCAGGCACGCATTTGCTAGTCCCTCTGCTCCGGGTGTGTTTATTTTGGTGGCAGATTGCTTCCCTGTTTTGCAACCCATATAAGTGGGGTGGCGCTGAACTACGTGGGTAATAGCTGGAAGGACTGGATGCAATTCTTCCTAAACTCATAAATCAAACGCTTTCTGTGAATGAGAATGTCATCAAAGAGATCAATTGCAGGAACACATGCACAAATAAAAATCCTCTTACGTATTTGCTGGGGTAGGGGATCCCCGTCTAAAACCATTAAGCTTGGAGGCGGCTAGTCATAATTCATTTTTTATTGCTCTGTTAAAACAACTGCTTGGCTAAGCTTCAGGTGCAGCAGGGAATCCCCTTTTCCTTTTTTTCCCTCCCTTCTTCTCCTAGTACGAAGATCGAAGATCGCTCTTTTGGGGCACAACATTTCCTTCGAAGAAGCACGTTTTCATTTTCGTTTACAGACGTTTTACTTTATAGGCAAGTAAGCAGGTCTGCTAGTTTGGGGACGCCCCCCTCCCACTAACAAAGAAGCCTTCGACACAAATCAACTGCCCGCAGACCCCGAGCAGATTTCCCCTTGAGACCAGAACTATGCTGAGACATATAGTTCTTACACAAAAAAAGGGAGAGAGAGTGAGAAAGAAATCTCAACAATGATTCCGGAATGTAAAGGTTTTCGGGAAACTCTTGGGGTGTCTAACCCTCCGACAAACACAAGAAACGAACGACTTTGCTCCGTTCGGAATACCAAAAACAACCTCGCAACAAAGGCGTCTGCGGGGGCGAAGTGGGGGGGGGGGAGGATCAAGTCTTCAACTTCGCCTGGGTAGAAAAGATCCGAGAAGTGAACTTTTGGAGAGGACTCCGCCGCGAGTTCGTGAATCGAGCTGGAAACTTTGGTAGCTGCGTCCCAGCGAGGGACAAACCCCCTTCGTTTCTCTCTCTCACCCCCTCCCAACTCGCCTCCTTCTG